GCAACCACATGTGACGACCCCGGGCTGGACTCCGCTTCGTCCACGGTGAAAGCCGATCCGGCGATCCACAGCGCGAAGTTGATGTATTTCCTCAGTGACCAGCACGGATCAGCTCCAGGCATGACGAAGCGGATATCGTCCTCTTTTGGAAGGCCAAACAAAGTAGTTTCGCTTTCACAACGAAAAACACAGCGTCTTCACGACATGGCAGCAGCAACAATACTACAGCGAGAATAAAAGTTACGCCTTCTTTCTTTGCGTGAACATTTGGGCGGCATTATTCAAATCTTCCCACATCGTGACGTAGACATGTGGGGGCGTGTTAGAACGAGCCGTTTTAGGTAGGCGTGGTTGACTCTTAACTTTTATAAAGAATATCTCTTTGGATTTGAGACTTTAGTCTTTGCAACTTTACAGATCGTCTTTATGCACCAAGAGCTTGTAACACTTCAAAGAGAAAGGAAAAATTGAAATCGCATTATATGACCCCTTTAAAAGAAATAAGTTGAAGTACTAAAATTGCTAAAAATGAAATAAAAATAAGTTATATATATACACATTTATATTAAAACCACTAAAAAAGCCAAAACTGACTAACTTGAACTGGAATACAAAAAATGGAAACTGAAAATATACAAATAAAAGCTAATAAAAAAAAATATACTATAATAGTATAATATGCTAGTGTATATAAATAATACTAAATAACAGTACATTTATTGTACTAAATCTCTCTCTATATATAAATTATCAATGTTCTTAATGTATATTGCCTGTTTCAGTTGTGTGTCAAACTTTTATATTTTACTATATTAATGATTATAATTATTTGTTATTTTATTTGAATTATTCTGGTAAATATAATAAAAATAAATAAAATAAATGACAAAATTTTAAATATATATAAAATGACATTTTAATATGAATCGTCCATCTCCGATATATCGTGAGAGAAGCCCTGCTGTCACCGGTACTGACCTGTAAGTAATTGACCATGTCATTGGTACAGGAATCCAGGTCAATGCGGCGGATGGCCACATACTCCCCTGTGGGTTTGTACCTGGCCAGATTCACTGTCATCAAGTCCTCCAAACCTCGACCTTCACAAGCAGAGACAGACACATATCATTAGCAGCTGGAGGAGTCACAGACGCTCCACAGAGATCTAGAGCTGTTCTAGTGCTGGCCTCACCTATGACAGATCGCAGCTCATAGGCGTTGTTGTCCCGAAGGAAGCTTCCCATGGTGTCTCTGTGTGGGAGAGGGCTCAGAGACTCTTGACTGTCCTCATGGGCCTGAGTCATTAGTCAAATGTGGAAACACTAAACATAAAAATAAACATTGCATAAATAAAAATGATGTTGAAAATTCAGTTTTGCTATCAGTTTTAAAATAAATAAAAATATAGAAGTTATTTTATACTGTAATAATTTTCTCTTTTGATCAAATAAATGCTTTTGATACTTTCTTTCTAATGCACATATTTTAAGCACAATTTAAGTGTCCAAATACTTTTTTGACTCGCTGTACATTCAAAGACATCGTAGGAAGTTTATAAAATAATATAGTGAAACATAAAATGCCCGATTTGTCATTTGAATGTGATAAAGCATCAACATTTAGCGTTTCTGGCAAGCTTGGTGTCACTGTGCAAGCAGTGTTCGGGTAGCAAACATTTTAAGTGCATGTTAGCTTTCCTTCAAATGCATCATAGTATTTTGGGATATCAGCCAAATATACAATGACCATCAATGTCAGTTTTAGTGAATTAGGAAACATTTCAAGATTACACACATGTACAATCACAGACACTGATGCCACTGTTGTGATAACAGCACAAACCAACCTGGTTTTGAAGAGGAGAAGGGTTTTTATTGCGCATACACTGATAAATCCCAGCCATTGCAAAGTTCTTCAGAGAATAATACAGATCAAGTTCTGAGGATCGGCAGATTATGGCTAATTAAAGATTCAGTCCAGCTGTTCTGAGACTCAGTACGAGACCGAGAAGTTGAAAACTGCAG